AGTTGTCCTTTGTTCTTCCAGTATGAGCAGGAGGAGATCAGGCGGAGGGAGGACCAGCAGAAGATCCCAGAGTTCGTCCGTGTGAAGGACAATCTGAGGCGAACGCAGACGTCTGAGCAGTGAGGCCCCTAAGGCTCCCATCAGCTCTTGCAGCAACTCACCATTGTGGCCCTATCTGCACATTCACTGTCTGCGGAGTCACATATAAAGAAATATCACAGAATCATACCAGGAAACATATAATCCACACTTAGAAATGTCTTCCAGATGCTTTGTCACAGTTCTGTTTCTGATGAGGGAGAAGAAGTGCTCATTTCATATTCACAATTATGTGGATCAATACTTGTTAAAAGAAAACTACTATTGTTAAGACGTGGATATTTTTTATGTTTTTTATGGTCATTGTTCTTTTTTTGTCAAATGAACTTCTCATGCTTCTTCCTGGATTAAAGGAGACTGTTTTATTGTTTGTTTAGTGGAAGGGCCACATCGGTCTGATTCTTTACTTTCTGTAAGATCACAATACGATTCTTAACAAAAACAACTATTTCTGAACAGAACTGTTTTGTATCAATAGAAATCCCCCCCAGTGTTACATATTTGTATGTTTGTTTATCTGTCTCTGTCATGACTTTTGATTCTTAGTGTGTCCGTGTGCTGTGGAAATAAAGGCTTTATGGTTTGCAGAGATGTGCTGTTTTGTTGGACAGAATTCAAAGCACTGAGGATTGATTTGCATGCAGCTCCTCTCCCTGAGGACTCTCTCGGCTCTTTCACATGGATATGGGGACTTTGTTTAATTAGCTGATCTTTTCATTCCATCACGGGACGAGAGGAGAAAGCACAGGCCATCTGGAGGAGGCTTTTCAGGATATATAGGCTAGGAATACCCCAGGGCCTGGTTAAAGCACTGGAGACATTTGGGAGAGTCGTGGAAGCCTAGGGAAATAAAAAAGTAGCCAGTTTGTTATTTCAGACTTATATTTAGAATAAGTAACACATCTCATACACAAATGTGCTACTACACACACAAACCCAATGTGCTACTAGAATCAGTAATCGAAAGAACGATTAGATCTTTATGTAATCAGCGAATTGTACTTAAATTATCAAAAGTAAAAGTGCTCATCTTTAAAATGAGATTATCATATAGCCTTTTTGTTTTTATATTACATGTATAATATATATTATTGTATATATATAATACTGTATTATTGGTACTGATACATTACCATGTAAGCAGCATTTTAATGTTGTAGCAGGTTGAGGTGGAGCTGTTGGGATAACTTACTGTATAACAGCATATACAATATTTTCAGTAAATATTAACAGACTGTAGAAATGTACAATAAATGTACATTAACTAACTTTATGTTACTCCACTACAATTCAGAGGCAAATATTATGCTTTTTTATTCAGTTTATTTCAGCTTAATGCTACAAAATATGATCAACACGTTAATAATCATAATTTAATTTATGCACTGCATTAGTTACTAATCACCAGTGCAGGTGACACAAAAAAGAATAAAGTAAGCAGAAAGGTACAAGAATACGGAAGCCGAGAACGGCCATGGATTTTTTTTGAATTTTTATGCACTGTTATATCGTGATAACAACTTATTATCTCGTTATCTCGACATAACAAAGATCGTTTTCTCGAGA